TAAAAATCAAAGCAAACTTGCAGGCGGATGGCGGCGACTGGGCAAGGACAATTTTTCGAAAACGCGTTTGTGAGCAGTTTTGGAAGAATGGAAAACGATTTTAAAAGCGGTCGTTGTTAATGAAGAGAAATATCTCGATAACGATGTCATGGTGCGTTTTTTATGCAATACTGCACACCTTTAGTTCTACATTCTTTAAGGTGATAAAATATCAATACTTTTAAGCAACAAAAGCCTACTGAAATACTTCAAATTAAAAACTTGTTAATATTTTGCTTGGAAGTCGTTGTATTGTGTAATGAAATTTTGTCTTTTAAGTGCAGTGATGGGACGTTAAGGAGGAGCCTAATATAGAAACGTCAGGTATAATATATTTGACTTAACACATAACATTTTGCAAAATAATGAGTCGTAATTTACCAAATATGATTCAGGCAGTATACGCACACAGTTAATAAAATACTTGGTAAATCGCCAGCATGCTTGCACCATAGAATCAAAAGCAGCGATGTTTAATTCCCCTTAAAGACCACCGGCATTTAAACCAGTTTCAAATTAATTCATGAGATCTGTTTCACAAGATCATCTCGAGCGATAATTCAGTGTCACAAGTACCAGTATGGAAGGGTCAAGTGGTATCGGTGCACCACTTACTCTCCATTGTCCTTCATCTTAAGGAGGATAATACCTAGGAGTTATGTCAAGGGGTAATGCAATACACCGACTGCTAGAACCATCATTGTGATCCTTATCGTGAAAATTGCTCTTTAGCTCTTTCGTTAATTTGGATCCTACGAGCGCACGTCTCGCATGGAAGATACAAATTTGACATCGGGGTCAGATGCAATGTAGCCGCGTGTACATTTGATCTGATTGATCACGTGTTTATGATGTCAGATGTCACGTGATCAGTGTGACAAACTGCGCTGATCTTCTAATACATCAATAATTTAAGTTTTGTGAGATGAACTAGTAGTTCTATCTACTTTATAACTGTACTTTGATGCCGTTGAATGGTGTAAAAGATACAAGCATGTATTGTAAAGTAAAATGAAAATTCCAATCAGTGCTGAATCGAAGAGTGAGGTTACAGGTGCAAGTACAGCGGCACACTAGCATGGTAACAATACTCTCACCAAACGCATTTCCAAAACACAATAAACATAAGAACCTGCATGGCAGTATGTTTGGGATGGAGTTGAAATAACAGCGGTGGCGGGGATATCCTTCACTAGCAAATCATCCTAAAAATTTCCATGATTTTCCATATACAAATGGCATACATGGCGTACGGCATGCTTGGTAGTAGAAACACTGGCCATGGATGATTTTTGCATGGACGATAGTAAGGAAGGCTCACTGAAGATTTTGAATTCATGCTCCATTAATCGAAAGTTAAACAGATTTGACTTGCATTTTAAAACTTTTTATGGAAAAGTTTATTTTAAAATGCATGTCAGGAGTTTTGGGGGGTTGGGTGGGGAGGGAGGAGGCAATTTTAATTATTACCATAGATGTCGTTTTTCGTAGATACCCCCTGCGTGTACAGTGTACGTGGAGCTAGGCAAGTATTTAAGACATCAAAGCCACGGTCGAGGGAAGGGGGCGGGTGGGGGGGGGGGAGAGACTGCTGTAGGTCTTGGTGTTAACAGTAGACCATTGAGGAGGTCATTAGTTCGACGACAAGAGGCTGCTTAAAAGAAGAATTGCACTCCGCGTTTCTGCATTACATAAAAATACAGCGAAAAACAAATACATGCCGTTTAAAAATACTTAAAAGATTGCCCCGCAAAGCGTTTAGAGGACCCTTGGTTTGTTTGAATACTCTTCTGCAAAGGTTACACGACGGTTCGACATTCATAGGCGTCCCAGCGAACACTGGCAAACAAACAGCTTCGATCTTTTGCCTCCTTTTCTTCTACATTTCTACCTCTTCTTTCTTGAAGATAATTGATTATTTGGCAGCGAGGTCACACTTAGATCCATCTCGTGCTCTTTCCCAGGCGAAATAATATAGAAGGTGACAAATTCACACGATTTCACCCCTACACCCAACACGCCCAATAGTTCCCAAACACAATACCACGCCTTTATAAACCTACTAAAAGCTTTTACAACTCCAAAACCACGAGCAGGTAAATGACACAGACTTTGTTTAGAATATATCAAATAGTCTTTTGACCCGTTAAAGGGAAGGGGGGCAACGGTAAACGGTGGATTGGTGCTCATTGCGTAAGAGGATATGGAAAAAAGGGAAATCAACCGAGGCGGGGACGGGATAACGAGTGGACTGTGATTTGGTGACAGAGTGGAAGACATCGTGGTGTCAGCTGGCGTATATGGGGACAAATTAGCTGTCGTCTGTTCCCAATTATTTAAGGGGTTTGGTAATACGGTCTTCGCGTGAAAATCGATACTTTAAGAGGGGATATTAAAGGTGAGTTGTACGTGTGATTGATGAAAGTCTCGGTTAAGAATTTCAATATGAGGGGAGGTATAACGAATATATACTTATTTACATATAATTTTTTTTTCTTTGGGGGGGGGGGGGGTGACTCAATGTTTCTATATTGTATAATTGCGGTTAACACGTTTTATTTTTCTGAAATATAAGTTAGAAGAGAACGATCTTTGTCCATGCATGTCTCAATTCATAGTTCAGAAGCCGAAA